AAACCAAGCAAACCTTAGTGATACATAAATTTTTAAAAAACAAAACAAAACAAAAAGTCTACTTATAAAAACTAAAGAATGATAAAAATTGCAAAATAGTCATCACCTCTTGGGGGCTGGCACAGGGAAAGAACAGAGAAGATGCACATGGATGGACATGACATATTAAGATTCAAGTTNAAAATTACAAAATAGTCATCACCTCTTGGGGGCTGGCACAGGGAAAGAACAGAGAAGATGCACATGGATGGACATGACATATTAAGATTCAAGTTCTGAAGTGGTAAATTCAAAATGTACTGACTATAATTATGCTTTATAATTTACATATGCTACATTTTTTTATAGTATCAGGCAGTACATTTAAGGCTAATTTAAAGTACATTATGAGAAGAACAACTAATAGAATTAAAGTATGCTTTAGTATTCCATCAGTAAGACATAGGTATCTACATCTTGAATAACTTTACTATATTGAAAAGGCAATAGTCTAAGAAGTGTACATTTAGTTCCATTCGACCCTTTCTAACTTCTTACTGATTGGGGTATTACTGTTTTGTTTTTTAAAATTTATCTTTAATGTTGAAAGAATTACAGATGCCCCCTTTCTTTCTCCATTGACCCCTTCTACCCTGCACCCACCCTCCACCCCAGGCACTCACCACGCTATTGTCAGTGTCCATGGTATTACTGTTTTTCATTTTGATAAACTTGAAGTGAGAAGGTTTGTAGAAATAGCAATATACAGAATATACTTCCCTAGAAAAAAACCCAGAAAGCCTATTTTTCTAGTTTTTCTCTCATCCTATTCACAAACATTAAAAACTATACAAACAAAAAAGGATCTGCACATTATAAAAATCATTTTGATATCCTACATCATTTGCACAATTGTAGTCTAGTTAAGTATAAGCCCAAAAAGGGTAGTGACTTTGTTTTTATCTGTATCCCTTGGTATAAAAGTAACATAAATACTTGCTAAATGACTGAATAAATATTTGATGAATGAATCACTGCATGATTTCAGCGTAGTGTCTGACATTACAATCAATTACCTCACCTGCTAAAGACAGCATTACAGTGCCCTCTCCTGGTTTTGCTTTGTAGTGGAAGTAAAGTAACCGACTTTGCTATTCATATTGCTTTACATCTTTACAGTAGAAACTAATCACAATGGAATAATTAGTAGTAACATAATTAACAAACCAGTTGGGACTTCTAAGGAGAATATGACTCTGTAACTACCATTCTTTACCTTCTGAATTCAACTCAATATAAAATCTGAAGAATTTTATAAGCTTCAAAGTCAGGTGTTTGCCCTTAATCTAAGTGAAAGGTAAGATAAGATGAAGTTAAGTACTTATTTTAAAGTCATAAATGATCTCTATGTAAATCCTAAGTCTCCCCTTACAGAAAGTATACCTTTTCTCAAATACTTAAATAATTTAAATATGTTGGTATATATAAGATTATAGCTTTTTCATTCAATGATATAGATCCTAATAAAGTACTATATGAAGTTACTTTTCACTCTAAAAGATATATTGTCTCCAGGAAATAATTATACAGTCCCCTTTTAACAGTTGGCAGAGTACAATATAAACTCATGCTTAATATATGATGTATGTTTTTATTTATATGTGCTTAAAATATTTAACAATAAATTTCTTCTATTCCAAATAAAGACCTCCATTTATAAAACTCAGTTCCTAAAATAGAACCATTTCAATTGATATTTTAAAAAATTAAATTCTATTTGTAAAGTTCAGCTGTGCTAATCAGTTCACCTGAGCCAACATCTGAATGCATGAGGTAATTAGAGTAACTGAAAAATCCACTGAAAATATGGGCCAGGTAAAAATAGTCTCCTCAATATATGGTGTTGAGAAAGCTGGACAGGTACATGCAAAAAAATGAAACTAGACCACCTACTTACACCGTGCACAAGAATAAACTCAGAATGGATAAAAGACTTAAATGTAACCATAAAAATCCTAGAAGAAAACATAGGCAGTAAAAAAAATCTCAAGACATCTCACATAGCAGGATTTTCACCCATACATTGCCTAGGGAAAGAGAAACAAAGAAAAAAATAAACAAATGGGACTACGTCAAACTAAAAAGCTTCTGAACAGCTAAAGAATGAACAAAATGAAAGGGAGCCCACTGTATGGGAAAACACATTCACCAATAATACATCTCATAAGGGGTTAATTTCCAAAATACACAAAAAACTCATCCAACTCAACACCAGGAAGACAAACAATCCAAGAGGGAAGAGATAAACCAAAGAACTTATATGCATATATGCATAACCCATGGACGCAGACAATAATGGGGTGTGGGCCTAGGGAGGGGGTAAGAGAGGCATATAGGGGAGTCAATGGGGGGGAAATGGGACACCTGTAACACCAATTTTAAAAAAGGAGAAAAAAATTTTTTTTTAAATGGGCACTTCTCCAAAGAGGACATACAGATGGCCAAGAGACATGAAGAAATGCTCAACCTCACTAGTCACCAGAAAGATGCAAATTAAAACTAAAATGAGGTATCGCCTCATACCGGTCAGAATGGCTGCCATCAACAAATCAACAAACAACAAGTGCTGGCGAGGATGTGGAGAAAGGAGAACCCTAGTACACTGCTGGTGGGAGTGCAGACTTGTGCAGCCACTCTGGAAAACAGTACGGAGTTTCCTTAAAAATCCTTAAAATATTAAAATGAAACTGCCATTTGATCCAGTGATCCTACTTCTGGGAATATTTCCTAAGAATCCTGAAACACCAATCGGAAAGAATATATGCACCCCTATGTTCACAGCAGCGCTATTTACAATAGCTAAGACCTAGAAACAGCCCAAGTGCCCATCAGTAGATGAGCAGATAAAAAAGATTTGGTACATTTACACAACGGAATACTATAAGGCTGTAAAAAGGGAGCTCTTACCCTTTGAGACAGCATGGATGGACCTGGAGGTTATTATGCTAAGCAAAATAAACCAGTTAGAGAAAGGCAAATATCACATGATCTCACTTATATGTGGAATCTAATGAACAAAATAAACTGATGAACAAAATAGGTACAGAACTAAGGATGCATGGAACAGAATAACAGATTTCAGGGGGAGGGGGGCAGGAAGAGATTAACCAAAGAACATATTTGCATATATGCATAACCCATAGACACAGACAATAGTATGGGGAAGGCCTGGGGTGGGACAGGGGTTGGGTGGAGTGGGACAAAAAGGGAGAAAATGGGATACTGTAATACTGTAAACAATCTGTAATACTGTCAACAAATATAAAAACACACACACACACACACACACAAAAAGAAAGAAAGAAAATATCTACCAGGTATCACAAGTAAGGCTGAATAAGAAACCATAAAAAATGTTTTGGTATTTGTGTAAATTTTTTTACTTTCAAATTTTCTACTTTCACCTCTCTTTTTAGAACAAAATACATACATATTATAAGCAGTATTAGAGACAAATAGCAATTGTTTTTGACCAAAGAATTTTACAAATAGAAGAAATCTTGCCATTATCTTGTTCAGTGTCCTCCCTTGGCCAATGGAACAACAAAAAACGAACTCCAAAGCAGTGAACACATTTACAACAGTCAGGTATCCTTTTAAAAAATGTTTTTGATTTCAGAAAGGAAGGGAGAGGGAGAGAAAGACAGAAACATCGATGATGAGAGAGTCATTGATTGGCTGCCTCCTGCACGCCCCCAATTAGGGACCAAGCCCACAACACCTGCACGTGCCCTGACCGGGAATCGAACCATGACCTCCTGGTTCATAGGTCGATGATCATCCATAGAGCCACGCCAGCCTGGCAGTCAGATATCTATTTAATAATAAATACTAAAACTTCCTATATCAATATGATTTCCACATTACTCTTCAACAAAGTTAAAAGTGTTTGTCTGATTCACGATGCAGTAATATTTTAATTACTGAAAAACAGTGGAAGACACACTGGGCAAGTAACCAACTCTAACTTCTTGGACATTTCAGTTCTTAGCTTCAGGTTCCTAAAATTAATTCTTTTTTAGATGACTTCTGAAGTTCCTTTCACCTCAGTAAACTCCATAACTCTTTTTTAATTCTCACCTGAGGATATGTTTTATTGATTTTTTTAGAGAGAGAAGAAGGAGAGAGAGAAAGAAACATCAATGTGAGAGAGAAACATCCATTGGTTGCCTCTCCTACCGTCCAACCAGGTATCGAACCAGCAACCTAGGTATGTGTCCTGACCAGGAATGAAACCCACACTTGTTTGGTGCATGGGATGATGCTCCAATCAGCTGAGCCACCAGGCTAGGGCAATAATTCTATGACTTTTAATACAAAGGTTGCCCCTGTCACAATGTTTTGAAATTATCTATTCATGGATCTAACTTCCTTGCTAGATTATAATTATCCTTATGGGCAGGACACATGTTTTACTCATTGTATATCCCCCAAAGCTAGCAGTGTCTAGTCAAAAGGGGGTGAGGGTAGGAATATCTTCTAAATTCCTAAGATGAAACATGTCTCACTTATGAAATCCCAAAGTATAAATGACACATTTTCATAACAAAATTATCTATTACATAAAAATTCCAATAGAATAAAACAGTATTTTTCATTGTCATAAGGCAGTGAAATTTTTATACCATGTCCAGCCTCAAAGTAGTCTGACCTATGTTTTGTGACGATTGCAGAAAGAAATACTATGAAGAAAAGGTCCTAAATCATTAACCAGATAATTAAGTAAGTAATCTATCTTTAGATAATTCAGATATAAATATACAAATACCATCCATCTCAGATGGACAATGACAACAGATGGGCACTAAATAACCATTAATATTCTTTACTTTGTATTTCAATGCCTGGAAAGAAAAGTAGAATACTTAATAATCAAAACAAAAATACCATATGCCTTTTATAAATATGCATCAAAACATTATCATGTCTCCAAACATGGCATTTGAACTTTAGCTACTTACTTGATGGGCCAAGGACATCTTTGCTATCACCAAGAAGCTTTTAATGCAGGGTAATTGAGCAGCAAACAAATAAAATCCAAACAAGGAAGAAGCACAATGCATCAGGATTGAAGCAGCAGTGAAACAAAAGGACAAGGAAAATAGCATTAGTTTATAAGTAGAAAGCACATGCATATCAATCCTAATAATCACAATACACAAGGAATTTCCTTCTCCACACATAAAAAGATCTTGGCTTAGGCATTATCCAATATTTGTTTTACTCTGGAAAATGAAAGTAGAAAGAAAAATCACCCAAGTATTTTGTTTTAGAAATCACTCAAGTCAAAAATTACTTTCAGTTATAGTTTAAGATACAGGTTAGGAGTAGTAAAAATTATTTAGAAATGTAAGGTACAGCCAAACTTATTCATTCTTAACTTTAAATGGTTTAAAAATATAAAACACCCATGCACTATTAAGTATTAGTTCTGCATGCCATGAAAGCATGTAACGCTACATGAAATCCAGTCTAATTTTTCTATAAAAAGAAAAGAACATTTACTGAGTGCTTATATTCCAAGCATTGTGCAAAGACCTTTTACAAAGGCATGAATAAAGTAGAACAATTAATTTCTCAAATGGCAAAAAACAAAAGAGTAATATTGATTAGAATGATATATTTTATTAAGTCAGACAAAATTTTCTTAGGACCTCCTGAATATCTACCATACTATCTGAAGCTACTAGTCCTTAGGAAGATAAAGACCAATTTTTAAATGAATAACTTGCAATCAACTAAAAGAAACAGAAAAAAGACTGCTGACCTGTAGTAACTATTTAAACATACAACATTACACTAAATGTTACCTATGGACAAGTGTTTGGTCTCCCTTGGTAGAAACAAAGTCCTTAGCTCTCCGCTCTCCTTCATTTCAAATACCAAGTATGATAACATATCAAAACTAAAGTAACAACAAAAACAAAAAATTCCCACCAATTATATTATTGCTTGGTCTTATTTAAAGGGAATGAGGCAGTCTTAATTGGCTATGACAAAACAAACAAAAAAAGGTAGCAGCCCTTTGCTTTGGACTTCTGTTGTCTCCTAGGGAAAAAATCTTGGCCCTGTTAGTTCCCTGGGTGATGATTATTTCACGAGGCTTGAAAAATTATTTTCTAATGTCTTTTAAAGGTATTTGCTAAAAAATAAGTAAGTAAATAAAGGTTTTTGATCTATTTGTTTTTCTCCAGTTGCCCATTTAAGTGCATTCTTCTATAAACTGATTTCAGTTTCACAGGATAAACTAAAAAAATTAAAATACAGCTTTAGTGACAATGAACTAATTGTGCTCAAGTCCTTAATACCATGTGAGAACAACTAGCAAGCATGTGGGAAGAGATTAAAGTATTTGTGGTAGGCAATCTCTAAAATGGCCCAGTGACCCCCACTTTTTGTTGTATAATATCCTCTCTTGGACTGTATGGCTAGTCTTGCTGAAATCACTTCTAGTAAATAGAATATGGCAGAAGCGAAGTGATGTCACTCTTGAGATTAGATTGTAAAAAGACTATAACTTCCATCTTGTCTGCAGTCTCTCCTTCTTTCTTAGGTAGATCACCCTGGAGAAAGCCAGCTGCCCCACTGCCAGGCAGCCTTGCAGAGAGGCCCATGACTCAAAGGAACTGAGGTCTATCAACAACCACTAAGTGAACTTTGAAGTGAATTTCCCACCTTGATCCTTCTCACATCCCCTTCCCATCCACCCAGTCAAGCTTTCAGAGAAGACTGCAGCAAGCCCCCTCCCCAGCCCAGTAGCTTGACTGCAACTATAGAGATTTTGAGCCAGAGACAACTAGCAAAGCTGTTCTTGGATGCTTGACCAACAGAAATTGTAAGGTAATAAATGCTTTTTATACCACTTAATTTTAGGATGATTTGTTGTCACCAATAAATAACTAATATAATATTGGAAACTGAAGGAAGTTAAGAAACTGACAGAGACAACTGTGGCAAACTTTACAAATGTTTCATAGACATCTTCTTAAAAAAATGCTCCTGTACTGATATAATTACTAGTTTCTCTAGTATTACCAGGAACTTCCTAAAGGAAAGCAATGGTTCTAACCATTTATACATGGTTGGGAGTATTTAATTTCACAGGGCTGATCATATTGAAGGTTTTTGAGTTGGTCTTCTATGTAGGGCAAAAGATTAAGTTCACTTTCATTATACATTCCTGTTATATTTTCAAATTTTGTTGACTAACAGCAATATGTCAATTTCCATGCAGCTGTACTTCTTGCCTGCTAACTCCCAGAAAATAATCCCTAGCATATACAGCAACTTCTGAATATCTGTTTCAAATTATGCTGACTTTCAATTTTATATCCTCAAGCATATCTGAATCATATAAATCTGACTCTATTGAATTAATCCAATTTTTTCAGATTAAGACACTGAATAATAATCAAAATAAACATAGTCTGTTCCTATCATAGATCCATCCATCCAAATATTTACTGAATACCTACTATATAAACAGGTACTGTTTTAGGCACCAAGGAATATAGTACTGAACAAAACAGATGAAATTCTTGCCTTTGTGGTAATTATGTTCTAATGGGGGAGATGAACAATAACATAATAAGTAAAAGTTTGTAAGAAAATGAGGACATATAGCATGTTACGGAAGAGGGAGTTAAAATTTTTAATAGGATGTCCTAAGAAGGCTTCACTACAGAGTTGACTGAGTAAAATGAGCTTACTTAGGACATAAAAAGGAAGAGTATTCCAGGCAGAGGGAAGAGCAAGTATAGAGTAGAGGATATGTAAGGGAGCAAGTGTGGAGTGTTTAAGGAACAGTAAAAACACCAAAGAGGCTGAAATACAATGCAAGTAGGAAAGTATCAGGAGATGAAGTCAAAGAAGTAAATGGGTGCTAGATTGTGTAGGACTTTACAGGACCTAGTCAGGACTTTGATTTTATTCTGAATGAGATGGGGGCCACTGAATGGTTCTGTGAAAAGAAGTGACATAATCTGATTATGTTATAATAGGATTGCTCTGGTTGCTATGTTGAGAATAGACTAGGGACAAGGGTATTATCAGTTAGGGGGTTACCGCAATAAACTAGGGAACAGATGGAGACTTGAACCAAGGTGGTAGCAGTGAGGGTGATGAGTAGCTGATTTCTGAATATATTTTTAAGGTAAAGTCAAAAGGATTTCTAAATAGACCAAGTATGGGATTAAAAAAAAGAAAGAAGAATCAAAATGATGCCAAGTGTTGAGGGCTGAGCACTTGGAAGAACGGAACTGCCATTATCTGAGATGCAAAAGACAGTGAGAGGAGCTAGTTTACAGGGAGAAACATAAGTAGCTCAGTTTGGAACAAGTTAAATTTGAAATGCCTGTTAGACATCCAAGTCAAAATGTCAAATAAGCAGTTGGACAAACAGACCTGTACAGGGAAATGGTAGTAAAAAATTATTATAAATTATGATATGTGTGAGAGTTAGGCTATATTACCTTACTGGCTTAATCAAAGCAGATTAAAAAATGCTACAAGATAAAGGACACCAGAAAACAAATAATGGAACAACAGAACTAAGAACCAAGCTGACATGCTCCAAATAAAAGCAGAAGCACAACGAAAAATAAGCATGGCCTCAGAAACCTTCCCCAGAAGAATGTGGAAACAAAGGCATTACATCGGGATGCAAGTGAAACCCTCCCAGAGTTGCTTGCAAGTGATGTTAGCAGGAAACAGGATGTAAGTAATTGAAGATTACAAATTAATTTTACCAAGTAACTTACATTACTGAAGTCTCTGCCGCACATGGCAAACTGCACACTACTAACTTCTTCTTACCACTTTTAGGACCTGGGTCTAATTTGTGCAGTTCCATTTTGTATAACACATGAATAAAGTCAATGTGAAGTTACTGATATTGAAACACTCTACCCAAGCATGTTGTAAGATTTTTAAAAAACAACAACAAAAAGCTAGCCACTCTTCTTGGCTTTTGTTAGCAAACCAAAATACTACTAGAATCTCAAAGAATACAGGCAATTTTCCTCAGCTTGTTCAGAAAAAGATCATTAGGGTATGACACACATTTTCTCTATTTGAGTAATTTATCATGTTTACCATTATCCCTTAGACAATGTCCACACAGTCACCTCAAAAACTTCTTTAACACAGAAATAAATTCTCTATTTTGGCAAAAGGGCTGAAAATAGTAAAATTACAGTAACATGCCAGTATATTACCAACATACTTTAATTAAAAGCATGAAATAAAGCCATTATCTAAGTCATTACTGATTTTAGTCTACAAATCTCAGGAAAAGAACATTATGCAAAAAAACGTGATTTTATTTTAATGTACTCTAAGTATTTGCTGTGTATAGTTAGCATAAAACCTGCAATCTTTAAGAAATGTAAAGGAAACTCATAATCACACCCTTTGTTCTGGGAAACCTCTCAGTCCTCAGCTATCTAAGACAGATGGCCACCCTATTATACAAAAATGATGAGATCTATACAGCACCTAGATTCTATTGCCTTTAGCACAGCACCTCCTTGATTTGACTTAAGTCATCCTTTTAGCTTAAGTGAAAACACAAAGAGCTCATCAAGCACTGATACCAGTACACCTCGAAAATAAAGATTCAAGCAGGTGGCACCTCCAGTAAAGCTAATCAAGTTGCACTCCTAGAAGCATTCCTGCTGCAGCTGGGTCTCAGAAGCCGCAATTCAGAATCAGGATTATATAAAACACCTCAAGAGTGCTCTACCTAGTGCTATTTTGGGCACTTATTACAGTAAGACACTTCAGAGAGGAATATAGAATGCAGCTGAGATCTCTTTGTTCTTTCAACATATAACTGAATTTTTCATATTCCTGCAATCGCCTGCAAAACATACACGTGCACATTTTACCCCTGAATTTTATAGGAGAGATTGTAAGGGAATATTTTTCTGGGAATCAGAGCTTATTATTGCTAAATAGAGAATATGATCTGGCTGGCCAGGTATTTATTTAAAAATAACTTAATCACACATGTGATTCCACTTTTGATTCCACTTCTAGGAATGTATACTAAGGTGATCATCCAAAATGGATGTGTCCATATATATGTATCACAACAGCATTTACAGTAATCTAAAACAATAATCTATTTAAAACAAGGTATTAAATAAAAATACAGTCATACAATAAAATACTATATAGTCATTGAAGTTTTTTTTTCAATGACTGAAAAACATTATATATTGGCTTTTATATTGGCTTTTAAAAATAGTTTATAAAAAAGTTTGTGTGCTATGACTCGACTTTTATAAAGTTTCATATGTAACAGTGGTTAGCTTTATAAGGTAGAATTTTATTTCTTATATTTTATGTTGTTTAAATATGCCACATTAGTATGAATTATTTTTATAGTAAAAAAAGATTAAAACCTATTTACACCATGGAATATTATACAGCTGTAAAGAAGAAGAATCTCGTACCCTTTGGGACAGTATGGATGGACCTGGAGAATATTATGCTAAGTGAAATAAGCCAGGCAGCGAAAGACAAATATCACATGATCTTGCTTATACATGGAATCTAAAGAACCTAATAAACTGATGAACAGAATAGATTCAATGACATGGAAGCATAGATGAGGCTGTTGAATGTCAGAAGGATGGAGGAGGGCGGGTGGGTGGAGGGGGAGAGAGTAACCAAAGAATTTACATGCATATATACACAACCCAAGGACATGGACAATGGTGGGGAGAGGGACTGGGGAGGGGGAAGGAATGGGGTGGAACGGGTCATTGGGGAGAAAAAGGGACATCTGTAATATTTTAAACAATAATAAAATTTAAAAAAAAACACACAAAAAAAACAAAAACCTATTTTACATTTTGGAAAAAATAAAAACACTTTTTACACTGATCTTTTCAATCTACATTAGCTACTTCTTATGACAAAATCATTTATGATTAAATACAGTGAAAAATATATGTTAAGGCTCCAATTTGAAATCCTAAAAAATTTGTAAAAATGTTAACATTTCAAATATAGCACTATTTATATTACTCACTGTCTCTTGAACTTCAGCAACTTCTGAATATGGCAAGATCTAAAAAAGAAACAAATTTTCTCAGGAGTGATTTAATCTTATATACCAGAATCTGAATCTAGAGAGCACCCACAGTTGAGCAAATGAATTAAGAGGTGCGTTAATCTTTTAAGAAGCAGAAAAAAAGTGCAATATTAGGTTTACACTGGAAATTAAATCCTTTTGGGAAAAATGTCCTGAAGCTTCAGGAAATTACAGTCAATTTCCCAACTGTGAAGTTCTCTCTGGAATGTTCTTTGTTTTTTCACAGACCTAGTTTTTTCTTCAGACCTAGCTTCATTCCAAAACTTCATTCCAAAGCATTGCTACCTATATATCTGGACATTATTGCATATTAACTTCTTGTTATAAAATTCTATTAACAAAGGAAGGGCTTTAAGTTTGTTTTATAAAATATCTTTAAGTCAATAAGAGCACTCAGTAGTTTCCCTCAGAAACAAGATTCCACACCAATTTGCCTAATTTTTCAATGGTACCATCTTTCTTTCAATCACTCAGACCTAAACCCTTGAGTCATCTGACACTCTTTTCCCCCAACATCTGATCAAGTCATCTGATTTTTACCTAGACAATGTCTTTCTCACATCAAGTCCTTTCCTTAAATTCCCATTAATACCATGTAGGCCAGACCCACATTACCTCATTTATCAAATTTTGCATCTATCTCCCTTTCAATAAATATTCCTGCATTCAATCTCATCTCACTCATTCATGTACTATGTTAGTTACTATATTCAAAAACATGATAAAGACATGATTCCTATTGTCAAGAAAATCATATAATGAAGGCTGTATGTATTGTATAGTAATTTATTTGACATTGAGATAAGTTATCTCCAGTCTACCCAAATAACTCATTCCTGAAGCTAAACCATTAATTAGCAAGTAATTTAACTTTTCTGAAGTGTATTTTCTCCTGTGTATACATAATTATTAAAACTTACAACTTTCCAGAATTTATTTCATAGATTTTTTTTTAAAGCAGTATGTAGACATAAAGCAAAATTATTTAGTATACAACAAATGATAAAGACTCAGAAAGGATCTAGAAGGGAATGATTAATTTACCAACTATCACATGTTGCTCCTCCTTAACTTAAAAACATGGATAGTGCCCATTTTTTTAGAACGTAAGCTCCAAACCCCAATATTTAAATTTTCTACAATTTGGCCCAATTACTCATTCCACAGAAATGTTTTGATCTCCTATGAAATAGCCTTGTAACTCCACAACTCCACTTATCTAAATTCTGTCTAGTAAAACTGATTGCTCAGGGTGATCTGCAGTTTTGTACCTACTTTCTTTTTGCTTCCCTGCTCAATAGCTCAGAAGTTCCCTGACCTTGAAGGCTCAACTCAAATAGCCAATTCTGCTACCAAACTTCAAGCTGATGTTATCTTTCCCCAACTTTGTCCTTCAAATATCTTTTTTTTTACAATTCATAGTTATCTTAGAGTATTTTCTCTATTGCTAGCATAAAAAATTTTAAAAAATCAAACTTATTTTACTTTCTTAATATTATAATGGTCTAGTACAGTGCTATCAAATAGAACGTTCTGCAATGATGAAAATATTCTTTATCTATGCTAATCAATAAGGAAACTACTAGCTACATATGGCTATTAAATTGCTGAAATGTAGATAGTGAGACTGAGCGATTCAATATTTAATTAAATGTAAATTAGTCATAAATGGCTACCCTACTGGACATCTCGGTCTAGTACGACCTTACATTTCCCCAGTTCAGCTTAACTGACCACTCTCTATCTAGCTTTTCTACTGCTGACCATTTCTTTTCTCAAAATTCTCTTCCCTTCCTTAGTTTCCCAGCTATTTTCTCTCCTTTCTCTTCTTCCCTCTCTCTGCTTGGCTCCCTCCCCTTTCTGCCCCCTTAAGGTAGTTATTCCCCAAGGCTGCATTTTGGAATCTCATTTGTCCTTATTCAACATGCTTTCCCTGGATGATTCCATTGACTTGATTTTTTTTTGATTTTTTTTTTATTATTTTTGTTTAAAATATTATGGATGTCCCTTTTTCTCCCTATCAACCCATTCCACCCCGTCCCACCCCCTCCCCAGGCACTCCACACCATTGTTCGTGTCCTTGGGTTGTGCATATATGCATATAAATTCCCTGGACAACATGGGTGAAATGGACAAATTCCTAGACGTGGACTTGATTTTTAAGCGGGCTCTATTCACTGACAACTCCCCAAATTAGTTTCCCACCTAACCTCTTCTGAGCTCCAGCCCCTTAAGGCCATCCCAACCACCCTTCTGATGCAGTCATTCGCCTTACCCCACAGCCCCTGGTAAGGGCTTTCCTAACTTCCCATGTCAAGCGTAACAAAGGGATACTATATCCTAGCCAGGCATAACACAGGGATATTCCATCTGCTTGTCACTGCATCCCTCTATTAGGCAGAACTGCAGGGAAGAGCCCCACAGCTCCACATGTTTCTAAGGACACTGCCCCGGTAGCTCCGTCTTCCTGACTAACTAAGGAGGTGGAAAGACCCCTCACTCACCTTTTCACTCAAACCTCAACACTTACAGCCTAGTCAGCAGTCTGCCTAACAGACCTGTGAGTTCCACACTTGGCTCTTCACTCTGCCTAGAAAACTATGTTTAGGGCTCGGTTCAAAAGTCACTCCATCAGAAGACTCCCACAATATTCCTAAAAGCAGAAGCACCCATCCCCTAGTCCAGCACTCCCTGTCCTCCTCACCCTGCTCTATTTTTCATCACAACCATCATCGCACAATACAGTATATAAGTATATATTTTTTGTATACCTGCACTAGAACGTTAGCTCCACTGGAGTCAGAATTATGTCTGTTTTGCTCACTGTTGTATCACTTAAAACTAGAACAGAGCCTGACACATGGAAGACACTCAACAGATATTGAAAATATGAATAAATGCATAAATGAAAAAGGCTTAATCATTATTACAATCCTAATGCCTAGCCAAGAATTTCTTACATGCAATTCACTGAGTTCCTCTGTTTACTAAATGAATTAGTTTAAATCCTCTATGGCAAAAAAGAAGTCTTGTTCATCTTTGTACTTGACAAAACTTAACATTCTGCACACTTAATATAAATACACAAAGAACTAATATGGACTATGATCATGAAACCTCTCTACAATATCCCCTGGGTAAACCTGAATAAATATCTTGAATTTAATTTTCTTATTTGTCGTAAAATTGTTATACTAAAAACTCAACATAGAAAAGTACCTCAGTGCTAAGCATATCCTTAGTTGTGCTTAGAGCATACTCATATTTTCTTCAACTATCAGTCTCAGCCATCATCATATGCCCAAAATCCAATGTTAGGAATTCCCCTATCCTTTCTCTTCAATAATTCTGTTACAGATTCCCCATCAGTTTTTGGTAATGGAACGTAAGTCATATTTCTTTCAGTACTAGTGGTCTCTTGCCATGATTACATCAACCTCCTTCATCTAGGTCTTTACATACAAGAAAAGTTCAAAATCCATCAATATGCCAATTATAACTAATGTTACACATCTGGTGAGACTTCTGGTAAAGCCTGCAGTTATGAAATCAGAAAAAAGTGATTGTCTACTAAAAAAATTAAACCCATCATCTTGGCCTTGGACTTTATTAATATTCTCCTCTGTATCTGACATAACCATCCATGGTTACCTGAAAATGTTATGAATTAACAACACAACAGAAACCATGTTATCACATCACAATCATGCCAGGTTAGATACAAAACTGGTTATATGAGATAGCTCATGTATATAAATACTTCAGTGTATGATGCTTACTCTTATAACCTGCTTAAATAATTTTGATTTTCAGTCTGAAATAAGAGCTTATGTTACTTGGAATTTCATTTTGGCCAATTCTTCACACAGATGCATGAGCCTACATTCTATATTTAATCATGACCAGGATCTGAATTAAGACATAAGGATGAGTACAGATTGGGAATATAGTTAATTATATTGTAATAACTATGTATGGTATCAAGTGGGTAATAGACTCACCAGGATCACTTCGTAAGTTATATAAATGTCTAACCACTATGCTGTACACCTAAAACTAATATAATATTGAATGTCACCTATAACTGAAAGATAATTTTTAAAAAGACATAAGGACTGTAAAACAAATACTTTCCTTCTAGAGTTCTATTCTAACATATGACTGATTAGTAATTCACGTTGTTCACTATCAAGCCACAGACAAGACTGCTAATAATATTATGGGAACATCAACCTCCACGACTCATAATATCTACCACACATAAAAATGCAGTTAGCAACTGCTTTACATGCCTCAGCAACTGCACAGTACCTAAATGCCAAAATATTCACCCCAGACAAAAAAAGTCACAGTTAGTTACAGGAGAACAAAGATTTGGGTTAAATAAAATAAATCATGTATTACCTACTTTTTGAAGTATACATTAGGTAATGTATATAAAAACTTTAAAGGGATGCTTAAAAAGGCTAGTTATAATACAGATGAGTTTATAACATAAACACATTAGCCTTTACATTCAATGACAAGAATAAGAGAATTAGAGTATGTGAACTGAAATCCTAACATAGCACACTGACTAGCTATGTGATCTTAGGAGAATTACTAACCCCTTCAGAGCCTCAGTTTCTTTATCTCTAAAAACAGAGTACAGTAATATATATTATATACTTTATAATATTATGGAAAGAATAAATAACAAAGTGTGGGAGATATGAAGCTAAGGTCAGGGCTCATAGTAAATGTGCAAAAAATTGTTTTCTCTCCACATAAATACAGTAACCCAGACATGGAAAGTGCAGATTCTAGAAATCTAGGGAAAAAAGAAAAATCCAGAAAAGACATATTTTCTATTCTACTACTACCCTATAGGTTTAAATTACCTTTTACCTAGATTATACAACTACATGCTAACTTGTTCCCTGGACTAACTGCCTCTATTTCTATGGTACCCAACCTTAGTTGCACATAGAAATCAC